CCCATTAACATTTTTGTATATAGTTTGTATTTATTTGAGTGGTTGGGTTATATCCTGTTAGTTAATAAGAATATGAAGTATATGGTTAATGAATTTTACATATGCTGACTGCTTAATGTGTACATTGAATCTAATTGTGTTTGGAGAAATCTATTGATATTAATTTTAAGGGATGATTTTATATTCCTTTCTTTATTAAAGTTTTTCTTTATGCTGTCTCTTACATGCAATGCTCCACAGTGCCTGGGTGAGAGGAGTTTTTGACCACTTTTAAGAAATGTTTGTAACAGTCTCCTTTAGACTGAAGCTTTATTTAATATTTTACTGTTTTTTCCTTAACTGTCTTTGACTTGGTTGGATTAGCTCTTTGCGGAGACCTTTACAGCTCTTTGCAGACTTTCAGTTAGAAAAACTTTGACTATGGAGCAGTGAGGGCTGTTATGATTGTCTGGTTCTGCCCAGATAAATAACGTGCTCACTGGTTGAAGTACCATTGATCTCCTCATTTATTCATCCAGATTGCATAGTTGAATATGTTTTTACGACACCAATAAGGAGACAAACCTCAGGTTTTCAGGTTTAGCCTAAATGAGTTAAAGGTTATCTGGTTCTTTGGCATCACGGGATCCTGCTTCAGAATGATTCAGTGATGAACAGCAGGTAGAGCCTCCATCAAACTGATTCGTGACCCTAACTGATGGACTGTTTATGACATTACAAGCTGCAGGTGGTGGACACACTGTAGCATAGATGAAACCTCTGGAGCTGTCTGTCATGAATTAAACTGCATTAAACGTCTGCTTGCTGCCTGTCGCTCCTCCTCTAATGAAATAAACTAGCCGAGTGCTTTTGTTCTTTAGAGGATCCATCGCTCATTCAAACTGGCAGGTAAAAGCACCATTTGTCCTCTTCAGGCTCCTGTAGCACTTTCTCTTCTGATTCTAACACTCTAACATCTAAGGTAACCACTTTAAGATGAAGTGATTACTGACTGCTTCTAACTGCTTCATGGAGACTAAACCGATTCTCATGTCTAAAACATTCACTCCAACTGCTCTGTCTTCGCCTGTAGGAGCTTCAAGCCGCCTTCCAGGCAGGTAAAAACCTTCTTCCTTTTTTTAACTTTAGACTTCTTTCCATTCAGGATAACTAAGATGTTGTAAATGTAATGTGATTTTGTTATTAATATCCATAGTGTATCACATTGTTACCAAACTGACTGTTTACATGCTCTGACGGATATTATTCCTGTTAGAAACTGGTTCATTGTTTTCAAACCCATCATGTTCAGATCCTTGTCAGAACGGTTCAGACAGAGACTGGTGGTGATGGACCTTATGTTTAACAAAATTGCATCTATTTCTCTCCTTCCAAATAAACTAAGATGCTGGTTTACCTGCAAAGGAGACAGTTAGACTGGTTTGTTACCTGGAAGCCAGGTTGGTCAAGTTGTCTCGACCTTCTGCTAATATCGCACAGGAGATCACATACAAGTCGCATATATTTGGAAATATGAACAGCAACGCAAAAAAATCGGATTTCACAAAAAATCGGAATTGAGCATCAAGGCTTGCAGTTTGAATGTAGTCTTGGTGTACTTAAAACAATCCTCTCATCCAAGAGGTCGAACCTTTCAAGCTTGACATGCCCTGGATGACTGACAATCTTTACAGATACAATCTTTTCGCGAGATTTGGTAGTTCTAGTATTAAATACATTTTGTCGACCATGTCACTTAAAGGGACAAAATCTGCTGTTCCCAAAACCAGACCCTGTCCGACCCTTGGCTCCGCCTATAAAACCTGTTCTGAGCAAGGACCAGTGACAGAGGGCAGCCCAATTAGCAGGACCAGGTCTGACTTTATCCTGGCAATGGGCACCAAACTCCTGCTCTACTTATACAGACGCAGGATGGCCCCTAGTAAAGGGCCCAGGAGCGACCCCGACAGGACACCATGAGGGACATGCTCCTCTGGGTCCTGAAGGCACATTTGGACCTGTTGGGAAAACTCCAATAAACACCAACGCACCTTGAGTTTAGAGCTGGTCCACTCAGCCGGAGTGGTTATGGCAGTGAGCATGGAAACCTGAGGTTCTGAGTTTGAGCCCCACTCCCACAGACTGCCTCTCTGGGTCCCTGAGCAAAATATCCTTAACCCCACACTGCTCAGCCCACTGCTCCCCAAGAGGATGGATTAAATGCAGAGAGTTGTTCTGTACTTGTGGCAGTGGAATGACAATAAAAGCAGGGGGGGGGAACCATCCTGACATAGGCCTTCCCAGAGAGGCTGAGAGGTGTCATCATCTCCTGCAGCTGGAAAACACCCTCCGGTGCCCCCTTCAATGGAGGGGGCTACCACCGCAGTATGCCAGTCCAAGGGTACATCCTCAAAGTATTCCTTCTGCTGCGTCGACAATATATGCAGAGAACATGGTTAGTTCCAAGCAAGACATGTCTGTGATTGCAGTGAGGGAGGAAATGATGTTAAAGGAGTAATATGGACATCTTAAGTTTGGTTGCTCGGTGGTCACCAGAGAATGGTGGAAGCTAACGGCTACTCTGATGCTTCCCTGTAAAAAATTATGTAGAATTTTACAGTTGATGGTATTTAGGCATTTTTCAATCAGCAGGAAATCCTCCATGCTTCTAGGTTGAGTCTGGCTGGTCCAGGCTCTGCAAAGGAAGGTCTAAACTTTCAGATTTGACTCAGCTGTACAGCAGGATGTGTTCATATTGTCTTCAGATTGTTCAGTCTTTTAACAGCACTTGCTATGGCCTTCTTAGTACTTCATAGAGCCACAAAGATCTCTACCTTTGAGGCTTTTACAGATCTTCAGCAGGGGAGATGGTAAACATGGAGGCTTGAAAACAGAAAGATGAGCACTATGCATCATCATTGTCTGAGAATCTCATAAAAGCAATTTATATTACTGTTCTGAATTCCATAATGCATAATTCTAGTAATTATTTCTTTGTCCTCAGATTTTGTCCCCGACATCGAAGACGTCCCTTTGGTCTTTCCTCCAATCAAAGCAAAAAGTGCTCCAGTTGGAGAGACCAATGGTGCTGAGACAAAAAAAGGTAGGACAGGTCTGGAGCCCGTTTATGCTTAGCTAGATAGTCCTCCGCCTGCAGAATGCCCAGGAGGAAAAAAATAGTAACCGAGGAAGAAGATAGTGAAGGAGGGAGTTAAAGGCAGCGCTGTAGGTTTTTGTAAATGCATGGCATTGTGAACTGGACCTTGAAGCAGTCAGTATCTGATCAGAAAAGCAATTCCATGATGGACGTTCATGTCTTCTAATCTCACTGTATGAATGTCTTTCTGTTCCAGCAACCTTTGCCGTTAAAATCAGTGTAGAATATAACAGAAGAACAGGAAAAAACCAAGTGGTTTCTTCAACCGCTATAAGCCCAGGAAGCCTCCAGCAGAGCGGCTTAAAGATATACGACGATGGACGCAAGTCTGTGTTTGCCCTGCAGTCTGAAGAAGACAGCAGGAGAGGAGAGGTAGGACAGATGTCCAGTCACGACGTGGAGGAGCTTCTGCATCAGGCTGCAGAGGAAGCGGCGCCTGCTGAAGTACACTTCCATCGTCCAGTGTTCTCAGCACCGTACACAGGAAGCAACAGGCCATGTACGCCTCGGGCACCGACCCAAATACCGGTCAGAGAAAATACACCATCCATTCCTGAACAAATGGATCAGAAAACCCCAGCAGGCCTTCATCAAAGCTGCACAGCCTCAGAGCGCCATGACCAAGCGGTCCAAAACGACCGGACAGGAAGGTTTGGTACCAAAACTAGTCCAGATTTCCCTGCCAGCAGCAGCAGAGGGGCCCCGGTGCCAGTTATGATGACATCACAAGCAACGCCTGCATCCATGACATCAGGTCACTGGAGCTCAGATCCAGATCTACATTCATCAGCCAGTGAATCTGCTGATGGGACTCTGAGCAACCATGACCTTCACACAGCCACAGGAAGCTCTGCCTCCCTGAACCAAATCCAAGCCCTGCCAGAGGAACCAGAGCAGGAACCGCTGACCATGATTTTCATTGGCTATGAAAACGCTTCAGATGAGGAGGAGGAAGACATTCAAGCTGAGCTCGTCATTATAGGCGCCAGTGATGGTGAAGACGAGCCAGGTGATGCTAACCGATGTCTGGATCGTTTGGGCTACAAAGAAGAGCAGCTGTCCTTCCATCCAGAAGGATGCAAGAGCCAAGTCTTCCAACCCAAAGTGGAGATCGCTACGGTTGGAGGAGGCCGGGAGGCAGCTGGAAACATCTGGGATGTGGAGCTCCACAGGCCTACGTTCGTCCACAGACCAGGAAAGCACAGCTGCTATCAACCGGGGGAGAGGCTGGATGAGCCTCCTAACATCCGCTGCATCACTGAGGAGAAGCTCCGCTCCACCAGAAGATGAGAGAGAGCAATATGAACATAAAACAACATAAAAGTCCAGCAGATCCAGTTTATTCTGCATGCAGAGTGTTATTGGTGCCTCTGGTCCTCCAATAACACTCCAGAGTGTTTTCATGAGTCTATGGGCTTCAAAAATAGCAATAGGACAGACTCAGGGTGTCCTTTAGGTCCAGTAGGAGAGGAAGAGATGTTCAGGATTCTGCAGCAGAGCAGCAAACATAGAAGCTCCTGTTTCTGGATGATGTCAAAATGATTCCTAAATATATCTAAACCTTCATGGAATCATGAAGAATGAAAACATGTTGGCTGTTCTTGGTCTTTTTTAATGTTTCCATATCCTGGATGCCTGACTGTGTGAACCATGATGCTTTGGTGGTCTAGTTTAACATGTAGAACAAGCTGAACTCTGCAACTCTGGTGCTTTGTTTCACATTAAATGAATTTCCTTAAAGCTACAGTCTTGAATCTTTCTCTCTCTGAGCCGCTGTCTCACTCTTCCAGCACTCCCACCACCACCTGATCACAAGGCTTTAAATTCTTCTCTAAACAAAGAGTGTGGGTACAGACAGGCTCTGTTTGTCACACATGTCCAGATGACTGATTGAACCATTTAGGCTACGTCCACTCAGCAGCCTGACCCAGATCATGATTGTTTGGCCCATATGTGACCTGTATCTGATCTTTTCATGACAGTCTGTACAAAACTGATCTGATTTTTTTCCAATGAGACCCAGGACACATGGCTCTGTGGTTCTGAATCCGATACGAATCTGATCTTTTCAATGCGAAATGCATCTGAACGGCCAGGTCGCATTCATCCGACCTAAAACCCATTAATACCCGACATAGCTCACTATTCTGGGTCTTGCTACACAGAAGCGGCAAGAAGAAACACAACCATGGCAGATGATGATGCGTAGAGTAGTTTTTATTTTTAACCATCTTGAAAAGATTGAGTTTTTAAGGTTGGGAAAGATCGCTGGATGCGCTCCAGCGCTACCATCCATGTTTACTTCCGTAAAGACAGAGAAAGCTAGCTTGTGATCTCATTATGTCCTCTACTGCGCATGCGGGACAGTGAAGCTGTATGAGTTGTATGAAATGTGAAATTTGACTATTAGATTTTAGCATTTAGGCCTGCAGTGTGAATGTAGCCTAATGCCGGGAATACACTGTGCAATATTTGCAATGGTTGCACGCAGCAACAGCTCAAACTGTACGACCAAACTGCAGGGTTGAAAAGTTCACAGCTCACCATGTTTGTTCTCACGCTGTGCGACTCGACGCTCTGATGCGATCTACCTGCTCACACTGGATGTCTAAAAACGACCTCAGACTCAGCGCCGAGAGGTGGCGCTACTTGGACCCGTCACTCCGTAAGAAGAAGCAGAAGAAGAACTCCCATGTTTGCACATGCGTAGTGCTCGAGGTTCTGATAAATCGGCTTGTAGCTCTGCTTCAACAGCAGGATTTACCCGATAGCAACCTAACCTCATGATTCCTAATGGGGAGGTGGTCGCCCCTGGTTACCCCCTGTATACTACACGAAGAAGGACGCACCATGAGGCTCAGCGCGATCGTAACATGCATGTTTAAACATAGATCTAGATCTAAATAATGTCTCTATGATGTATTGAAATGCTCCTCCACACTCTCTAGAACAGTTTAGAGCTACTTCACTGGCTCTCAGTCACAGGAAGGGAAGGCACCTAAACTTTGTTGTGACTTTATAATCAATTCCCATCCAGGTTGGACTCCATATTAATGTTGTGAATAACTTTTATATTCAATTTCCAGCAAGCTGGGAATTGAATTTTGTGCTCTGATACTGTAAGATGTTTATTGCCCTCCCCTGTAGGGGTGGTAAATATCTTGTTTAATCAGATATTATTTCAGCTGTTATATACT